AAAAAACAACAACAATAAAAAAACAAAAACAAAAAAACCAACAACAGAACCAGCAAGCAAACAAAAGACTGGGGGTAACCGGGTGGTGATCCTAATCGGGTGGTGACCAGAAGGCACAGGGCTTGTGGGAGCAAGCACATTTTCTTTGGGGGAAACTTCGGTGCAGCCAAAATTTCTTTTCATCATTCCCTTTCACTGGTGATGACGAACTCCTTATAATTCTGACCAGGCATGGGCTCCCCTAACCCCAGTAGGGAAAGCAACTAAGACTACATATAAATAATGCAAAATAGAAGATTTGTTTGTTTGCTTAGTTTTTTTGAGACAGGGTTTTTCTTTGTAGCCCTGGCTGTCCTGGGAACTCATTTTGTAGACAATGCTGGCCTTGGACTCAGAGATCTACCTGCCTTTGCCTCTCGAGTGCTGGGATTAAGGACAGGTGCCACCATCCCTGGCTTTGTTTATTTTATTTATTCTGAGACAGGGTATCCCAGGCTGGCTTTTAACTGTCTATATAGCCGAGGTTGACCTGGAACTCCTGATCCTCCTGTCTTTACCTCTAGAATGCTAGGGCTACTAGCTTGTACTGCCATGGCTGGTTTTGTACAGTGCTGGGGATTGAACCCAGGGTTTCAGGCATGCTAAGCAAGCATTATATCAATTTGACATCTCCAGCTCTATTATAAAATATTCTAGGCTTTGGGGCCTAATAAGAACCATAAGAAAAAGCCCAAGATGCTGGGTGGTGGTGGTGCACGCCTTTAATCCCAGCACTTGGGAGGCAGAGCCAGGTGGATCTCTGTGAGTTCCAGGCCATCCTGGTCTACAAAGAGAGTTCCAGGGAAAGCGCTACACAGAGAAACCCTATCTTGAAAAAAAACAAAAGAAAAAAGAAAAAGAAAAAGCCCTAGAGAAGAAAACAGTGTTTTATTCATGCAATTACCCAGCTATTAGTTTTTAACATAATCCTATTACTATGAGCCAATCAGTAGGCCAAGCAATTTGCATGTATCATCTCATTCATTCACAGCCCTATG